AAAAATGTGGCACATGGGGATATCAATAATTCCGGTTCTAGTTGGAGACCTCGGATTGATTGGAAAATGTTTCGATAGACTTATTGAAGGAATTCCTGGTAGACCATGCCTTAAAGAAATACAAAAAATATACTCAAGTACAGCTGACAGATTACGAAGAGCTTTAACTATGTAAAATGTTTGTGATCTTAGGGGTTTTGGGGGGGGAGTGGGGATTTACAAAAATGATCAGTGGAAAATGTCATGAAGCCATTTCTGACCCGGAAGGAAATAGTATACAAGAAAAATCAAATGAAATAATAATAATAATAATAATAATAATGAATGCCATCCGAGAGAAATCTTAGCTGTAGCCGAACAGTTTAGTTATGTATTCGGATAATAATAATAATAATAATAATAATAATGAACACCACACAGACCCGGTTACGGAGATAGGACCTGTTACAATTCTATGGGACTACACAATACACACTGACAGAACAATGAAAGCCAACAGCCTAGATATTGTTATTAAAGACCACAAACAAAAACGGTGCCTCCTTATTGATATGGCAGTCCCTGCTGACTGCAATGTATCTTTGAAGATATTCAAAAAGATGTCAAAATACAAGGACCTTGAAATAGAAATCTCGAAAATGTGACATATGGGAACATCAACAATCCCTGTTGTAGTTGGAGCCCTAGGACTGGTTGGAAAAGATTGCAGTAGACTAATTGAAGGGATTCCTGGAAGTCCATGCCTCAAGGAGATACAAAAAATTGTTCTGACAAGTACAGCCAACACTTTACGAAGAGCTTTATCTATGTAATTTTTTTTTTATTTTTATTTATTTATTTTTTCAGTGGAAACTGTCATGCTGCCATTTCTAACCTTAGGTCCCTGGGCCTGAAAGAAATGTGTAAACGCCAGAAATCAAAGAAAATAATAATAATAATAATAATAATAAGAATAAGAAGAAGAAGAAGAAGAAGAAGAAGAAGCTGGATAGCGAGAGAGTTGTTTATTTCTAAGTTTGAAGTATGGGACAGTCAAAGAGACTTGAGAGTCACATCTATTTGGGGACGCGTTAGCCGACCTGAAGGCATTTCTATCTTGTCACCCATCTACAAGGGTATGCGCTGCTTTTAACAAATCCCGTCGCTATATATATACTTATATGTTTGTGATGCGAGTACCTTGTTTACTTTTGTCATAATGGGTATGTTGGGATTCGTATATTCGTATCCCAGTGTCATAATTTTTTTTTTTTTTTGGGGGGCGTCTACTCTCTCTTTTACGCAATAATACAAGGATCTGAAAGTAGAAATTTCAAGAATGTGGCATCTGAAAATATCAATAATTCCAATTGTGCTTGGCGCCCTGAATTGTATTAGAAAATATTCGGCTTGACTCACTGAAAGGTTCCCTGGCATCCTATGTCTTGAGGAAAAACAAAAAATTCTTCTCACAAGCGTAGCACGTACGATACAAAGGACTTTATCTATTTTAATTGTGAATACGTTTCTAGATATATATATTTTTTTTTTTACACAATTGTGCAATGGAAAATGTCACGATGCCATTTCTGACCCTTGATCTCTTGTTTGAACCCGATGGAAATGTGCATACAACAGAAATCAATAATAATAATAATAATAATAATACCAGAAAAATAAAAACGAAAAGTTGAATTTCTTGCTAACAATTTTTCCCATTATGATGAGCAACACAGGATGCGGTTACTGGCGAAAATAAAGAAAAGGGGACATCGGGTGTTTTGTCCAATTTGCACTAATACTCTCAGAAAAGGGACCAAGGCATCTTTGTCCAGTTATGGATTAAATAGCAAGGTAGACTTGAGTCGAAGGGAAGAATTTATAACCAGCCTGAAGATAGCTTGTTTCCGACGCACACAGGGTATAAGTACATGTGATGCCCTTGCAAAAACTAATGGTTTATGAGACTGGTGATTGGGATTAGCTCACTTGGAAGAAAAAACAAAAATAAAAATTGATTGACTTGTTTTTTATGGTTTATCAACACTTTGTAGGTTATTTAATACCAGAAAATATTTTACATTGTAAGAAATTTATTTCTGAGATAATAAGGATTTAGTGATACAAGTCTTACTAATTAACCCATAGCTGGGGAGTAGAGGAGGATTCATAACTAATCAAAATTTGATAAACAAGAAATTACAATGTGGATATAATGTGGGGGAAAAATCAGTAGATAAATTGATCCCTCACTTTGTGACCATGATAGTTTCTATACATTTATATCCCTGAGAATTTAAATAAATCTAAAAGATATGCCTATGTAGCTAATCAGTGTTTCAGTGATTGATTGATTGCAGGTTATTTAAAGCCAGAAATATTTTTTCGATAATAAGAATTTTTGGGGAGATATTTATGATTTAGTGATACAAGTCTTACTAATTAACCCACAGCTGGGAGAGAAGAAGTGAATTCGCACCTTTCCCAAGGTTATTTGCGTGTAAGTGAATATCATGAACCCAAGTGAAATTGGAACTCGGATCTCCGATGAAAAATCCCGGGCCATTACCTACTACACCACCCGCACATCCATGCTTACAAAACCTGGTATTTTCAACCGGTCACCCATCAACCATACTGACCAGGCTCGACGTTGCTTACCTACGGTGATGGTCCGAGAACCGGTGTTTCAATGCTGTATAGTCGCAAGCCAAAATAAATAATAAAGAAATAAAAATTACTTCAGTGCACAAGAAAAGAAAACTCTTACTCGGTGTGAAATTAAACAAGGAATTTTTTTTTTTTTTACAATAGATTTAATTGCAAAGGCATGAGGTTATAAAGGGTCTAATAATACCTTCGTCCACAGACGGAAACGGAATAGTTGAAAGCGAAGGTATGACAAACGCGCTTTGTTCTCAGAGAGAAAGACTTGAGTTTTATACCCCTAAGTTATATACAATATTATATACACATATTTATACGGGTCCCATGCAGATAAACTATAACCCATGTCTAAAACAACAAGCAGGTGTGAAAAGGGGACGATAAGATAGCGTCTTACTTGCAATAATTCCCAACTGGAATTTGGGCTACCGAAGATTCTTCTGTGATTCCGGAGAAGCCGTATTTAGGATTCCAGATTCCTATATCACTAGCGAAGACATATTTTGCAAGCAAGAAACGGCGAGCTTTTCCCAACATGAGGACTACGAACCGGAGATAGTTTTTGTACCTGGGGAATATATATTCTTAAAGGAAAACAGCCCCATGAGCTTGTAAGCTGCCCACGGTTTGATACCGGAAGTTGACTGACCACTTTCGTTACTCTATGAAATGACGTTATTAAGCTGCTGTCACGTGCCTTCATGACAATCAAAGAGAGATAATCGACTTTTGCATCCCTACAAGTTTTTCTCAAAATATTTCTATAGGGCCTAATAAAAATTAAACTTGTTACAGAAAAAGTGTTTGTGAAAGTGGGACTTACAGTTGATAATGTTAATAATGTCTTTCACAACGGGATATAGCGAAAGTTTACACCTGTTCTGACCTGTCCGGAGTTGAAGTCATTTGTAATAGTAACGAAGAATCTTGTTGAGGAATGGCGAATGAAGAATTTTGGTAACAGTGATAAGAGGAATACTTGCTTTTCGTTTGTCTGTAGGAAATTTCGGTTATGTTGCCTGGAATTTTTGGCTGGCTGTGTGGTGCTTCGGTGTTAAAACTTTTGTTTTTCCCGAGTTTGCATTAGACATGTGCCTTTTGATCATTTCGTTCTCTGCCGAAAATTTCCAAAAAGGGTTAATCGATATACTTGTCTATACGTGTATGTGACTACGCATCCTGAGGTCGCATGAATCAATAGTGATTTTCAGTAGACGACGACATTGTTTTTATTAGGTTTCCACAACCTCTTATAGTTACGTTTTCAAATAATCACGTGTTTAAAATTCCGTTCTTCAGATGAGTGGGAAAGTAATCTAAAGGAATAATTTTTCTTCTCAATTCTTTTTTTCCTGAACATTTCATTTTTTTTTTATTGACGTGAATAAACGTCGCCACAAACAGGCTCAAAACAAGGATTATACATAAACGGCCGTCTGATGAATTCAGTGAATATTAAAGTCTTCGCTTTATAGTAGTAGTAAGAAGTATAAGGTTGTTCACATCATTTTTTTTTATAAAAGTGCTGGCGTACTATAGTGACATACTGCCACTTGGTCTTTAATGAAAGTATTCAAGTTACTCTTGATGTGAGAATTTTTTATATATTATATCTATTCGTATTCTAAGGCTTGGAATTAATTTTCTTTAAATGACTCCCGTATACATTGTAATTGAAAAGCATAGTTCACCGGCTATTTCATTATTTCAAGCGCCAAAGATGATTGTGCAAATAAATATATTTTAACAAGGGACGGAATCAATGAATATTTGTTACTGAATTTAGTGCTGGCATTTAAAATCTCCGATAAAAAATTACTTTCTATTTATTTATTTATTTATTTATTTACTTATATTCGTTTCCCACCTTCAACCTCTTCTCCCTATCTTTCCTATTTCTATAAAGATGTCTGCTTCGTTTTCCTTTCTTTCCAGTCGTTATCGAAACCGAAATGTGTGATTGGACCTCAGCCTTGTCCGTAAGCGCTCTGCAAACACATCAGAAAGTGAAATCAAGTCAAGTTAAATGAAAATGTTCGGCGTCCCTTAATAGTTTTGATTTCATTACAAGACGCCCAGACGGTGGTGGTTAGATCGGCAACAAGGCGTGCGAAGACGTTGACCTTGATTTCCAGGCGTTGGCGGCGGCGATTGTAATGGCGACAGAATCGGTTCTCTCCGGGCCTCCATAATGGATTGTAGTTTGAATAAATTTTTGCTGCCATTTCCACTTTCTATTCTCTCTCGTCTTAGTTTTCGGTAATCATTTTGTCCTTTACTTGCATCATTTCTCGCTTTACCCAATTACATTTCTGTATATTTCTTTCTCTTTTATAGTCAGTCGACTATGCCTTATGACTTTAGTTCAAGTTCATTTTTTATCTTCTTTCTTTTCGTTCCTAAACGCGTTAACACTATTTCCAAATTTTCTCATTTTAATACACTTATCTATCTATCTATCTATCTATCTATCTGAGAATATCTATATGTTCTATCTTTCTATATATCTATTTATTTTCTATGTGAGAATAGACGGATATCTATTCTCATTCCCCTCTCTATCTATCTCAGTCTGTTCATATCTATCTATCTATCTATCTATCTCAGTCTGTTCATATCTATCTATCTATCTATCTATCTATCTATCTATCTATCTATCTATCTATCTATCTATCTATCTATCTCAGTCTGTTCATATCTATCTGTCTATCTGTCTATCTATCTATCTGAGAATATATATTTATCTACTCTATCTTTTTATATATCTATCTACTTATTCTCTATATGAGAATAGTTAGATATCTGTTCTCATTCCCCTTTCCCCACTCTCTCTTTATCTATCTATCTATCTATCTATCTATCTATCTATCTATCTATCTATCTATCTGAGAATATCTATATGTTCTATCTATCTATATATCTATCTATTTATTTTCTATATGAGAATAGACAGCTATCTATTCTCATTCCCCTGTATATCTATCTATCTCAGTCAGTTCATATCTATCTGTCTATCTATCTGAGAATATATATTTATCTATTCTATCTTTTTTATATCTATCAATTTATTCTCTATATGAGAATAGGTAGATATCTATTCTCACTCCTCCCCCTCTCTCTTTATCTATCTATCTATCTATCTATCTATCTATCTATCTATCTATCTATCTATCTATTCTCATTTCTGTCTCCAATTGTTTGTTCTTAGTTAACTCTTGATTGATAACCATAAAAAAAGACTTTACATTCTTCAGTTCTCGATTGCAAGTAAAACCCCAGACAATGAATTCCTAACTGATTTCTTTCCGCTGTTATCAGTGAATATAATCGCAAAAGATTCGTAATCTTAGAAGAACCAAAATCATCAAAATATTCCTTTTTCTTCGAGTCTCCACATTTCTATATCTTTTCAATCTGTTATTCTTTCCCTTGCTTTTGTTGTAACGTTATATTTAAAATGTCTATTCCCCATGTCGCTACTTATATCTTTTATTTTTTTATGCTCTTAGCTGTCAGTTTATGTGTGAATACCAGTGTAGTGTCTGTGAGTCATTGTGAGGGAGGGTTCGATCCTATCTCGATGTTCCGAGAGAGAGAGACACACATTGACTGAATTTAGCCGACTTTTCTAAAAGAAAAAAAATTAACACTTTTTTCTTTCTTTTTCTCTTCAATCCAACCACTCTCTTCTTGTTTTTAAGACGTATTTTTCCTCTTTTCAAATTTCCTCGTCATTCCTTCTTTATTTTCTTTTTCTTTTTCTCTGTTTTCTTTTTCCTTGCTGCTTTATTCGTTTTCTTTCTTATTTATCTTTTTTTATTCTCCTTCCTTTCGCGCTTTTAGCTTTTATTTATTGATCTATCTGTCTTTCTTACTTTCTTTTTTCTTTCTTACTTTCTTTTTTTCTTTCTTTCTTTCTTTCTTTCTTTCTTTCTTTCGTTCGTTCGTTCGTTCGTTCGTACGCTTGTTCCCTTTTCTATCTTTTATCGTTCATTTCTTCTATTTTATTCCTGTTTCGAATGAAAATAAAGAAAACTATTTCTTTCTTTATTTTCGTCCATCTTTCTGTCTGTCTTTCTTTATCATTCCTGTTTATTTTTTCTCATTATTCTTCCGTGTTCATTTTTCTATACTTTTTCTCTTTCATTCTTTCTTCTCTTCTTTCTCTTTTTACTTTTCCTTTCTTTCTTTCTTTCTTTCTTTTTCATCATTTATCTGCTTCTCTCTTTATCACTTTTGACATTAACTACGTTTTAGCATTTCTTTCTTTTATTCCCAATATTTTGTTTTTTGTTTTTTTTCATTTCTTGATTCCGTTCTTCCTTTCCTTCACTCTCGTTTCATTTCTTTTTTTTCTTTCTTTTTTTTTAGCCTTTACATCTTTCGTTTCGTTTTACCCGTTTTTTATTTTATTTTTTAATACCTCACCCAACGAAAATCATTCCTCGTTTTTGAATACATATCTTTCGTCCTCCATTCTCTCTCTCTCTCTCTCTCTCTCTCTCTCTCTCTCTCTCTCTCCTATTCTTCCTCTATCTTTTTATTCTTTTCCTTTCCTTTTCTTTCTGTCTTCTTCATTACTGTCCCCTTCTGGCGAAAATAAATCTCAGCAGGAATTGTTTGCAAAAGTTAACGCAAATATCATGACAATAAAATTATTATTGCCCTTGCGGAAGTCGCTTCGAAAGCAGAAAGCCGTACGCAGAACTGCATATACGCTGTTGAAAGAAAGAAAGAAAGAAAGAAGAAGAAGAAGAAGAAGAAGACGACGACGACTTTGGAAAAATGCCACGTTAACAAAAACTCGAATTGTATTTTTCTCACCAGCTTCAGCATTTGTTATTTAAAGCTTAACAAAACAGCAAAAGTTTGAATATTGACTCAGAAGGCAGAAAGACTTTTATTAATTGACGCAACATATTCTCCATTTGTGCCAGTGCCAAAAAAGAAGAAGTTAAGCATATCAATAATTTTACAGAAATTTAATTTTGGATAAATATTGTCAATACTACAATTTCCAAATACATATAATTTGGTTAGAACATAGCTTTTAAATAACAATTACTTTTTGTAACCGTTTCGTATCAGACTATAATTTCACTTTTATTATCAATTTCTTGGTAAGAAAAAAACTCGTATGCATAGAAAAAGAACATTTCACAGAACAATTTTCTCTCAAAAATATATCCTCCACTTTTCATAGAATTCCTTAATTGGAAATTTACAATATTTGCCTGGCAGTTGCTCTGACGAGATATTTTCACTGGTACCCCAAGTGCATGAATTTAAGCGTGCTACTAGGTTAGCATTTCGGTCCCACACTGTCACTGTCGAAACAGTTAAACGTAACCGCCTCCTCTACTCCAACAGCTTCTTCTCTCGCACTTCTCGGCAGTGGAAATCCCTTCCTCCTACTTGCTTCCCTGATAGCTATAATCTTCAAAAATTCAAATGTAATGTCAATCGACATCTTCTGTTGCCTTGATTTTAATCCCCGTCCTTCTCCATATCCCTTTCTCACCCCCAACTCTTTACTCTTGCTCTCACTCTCTGTAACCTCTTGCGTGCTAGAGGCACTCCCGCTTTGCTTGGGGTGAAATGCTTGATACATATATATATATATATATATATATATATATATATATATATATATATATATATATATATAAGGTGTTTCATTAAGACGGATTATATATAAGGGCGTTGCATTCAGACGGATCAAAGTCAGCAGTAAATAAATCAGTGTTATTGGTGTAAATTTATTTATTTCTCTATTGGATCATGTTATTTAAGTCATGGCAATTATGCGTGAAAAATAATATCGCACAAATGTCCGCCAAATCTGAATGAAAAAAATCATTAGACGCTTAAACTTAATTCACATTTAAAATCGGTCCAAGTTATTGGAACACCCTTTATATATATATATATCTATATATATATATAACCTGCGGAGGGTCGTTTGGGAACCTTGTGGCAGGTAGTGCACCAGATCTCTGTATTCGGCCCTTCAAAAAGTGTGGATGGTCCTGCACGAAACCTTCGCCACTATAATCAAATCTCGTGTGGTGTTGTCGGGCTGTCGGTTTCCTAGGAACTGATCTGCTTGACCCTCATACGTCGAATTCGACAGGAGAGTCGAGAGTATATATATATATATATATATATATATATATATATATATATATATATATATTAATGTATTTAAGCTCCGTTAAAAACGACTGACAAGGTACTGCAGTTAAGTTTTTTTTTATTTCTTATAACGGACAGATATTTTAGGTTAAGTAACTTTTAATTAACTTATTTTCACCATTTGTCGTGAAACAATTTTTTTTTTCTGAATGTCGTCGTGTTTCTTTCTTTGTTGGTTTGGTTTGGTTTGGTTTGGTTTATTTAGGTTTAAAGGCATATCAACCTTGAAAGGTTATTTAATGCCTATTAGTTTTTCCTGATAGGTTCATATAAAGAGAGTATGTCTTCCTTACCGGAAATCATTTTGTAGATCAGTTTTCGTTGACGTCTTATAAAGCGGGGTTTTGTCAAGCACTAAACGTATTGTTGATAATCACTTTCTCCAAAAATGTGTAGCTGTAGTTACGTTTTCCCTCCAAATTACTTTACTATTCCAGGTAAGTAAACGAATTTAGTGCTTTCCTTGTTGGCTGCCAGATCATATGATTTAATAATTGTATATAATTTACGATAAAACAAGGTAATTAAAGAAGTTATTTAAATATATGTTCGTTATAAGAAATATAAAAACTTAACCGAAGTACCTTGTCAGTCGTTTTCAAGGGAAATTCTATAAAAGATGGCTTGCTGTCCGAATACACAATGGTAATTAATGCGCGGTTCGTTTTGTCAGCATCGGAAGTATCTAACTTCTGACATATTTTTATCTTTAAAGATCAAGAGCAGACCAAAAATGAACTATTAGGTTGGCTAGAAAGTCCTGACTCACTTAGGAAGTAAAACGATAACAATAAATTTTGATCTCTGTCTGGTGGAATTTTCAAGGACATTTCGAACTGAAGTTGCGCCATCAACGCTAAACTGTATTGCCGTCAGCTAGACGGCGTGTCCGACAAACTAAAGAAGGAGTATCCTGCTTTGGTCAATCGAGATCGGAGTTTGTTTCAGCAAGACAATGCGTGGCCACACACTGTCTGGTTGACTAAGGAGAAATTTAAATAAATGGGCGGTATTGAGATTTTTCCACATCCACCATTCAGTCCTGATGCTGCTCCGAGTGACTATGGCATATTCCGCTCAGTGGCACACTTCTTTCGGAACCAGCGATTCAACACTTTTGATGAAGTGAAGGAAGCTTTTTTTTACAGGTTTTTGATTATATATATAATTGTTTCTGGTATCTGGAACAGATTCCGATGCTGGTTCATCGTTGGCAGAAGATGGTCAAGAATGAAGATTTATTTTGAAGAATAAATGTTGGTGCTGCTCCATATAATTTTGTTGTTTTCTTTCTGCTTCCTAAGTGAGTCAGGAATTCCTGGCCAACCTAATATTTTAGCTGGGGCTATTTAACCTCATTATCCAAACTTGATAAATTTCAAAATCGTTTATGTCGTATTGTGGTTGATAACTTTTTTTTTTCAATCGGGGTCGACCTTTCCACAGACACATCTTGAAAGCCTGTAGCTATTTCCATAGCAAATGTTCAGGTGAGCTCCATTCTTTAGTTTCAACAGTTATGATCTTTACAGCAAGAACACGTCACACCACTTTCACAGAGTCAAATCACCCTCGTTTCCTCCTTATTCGTAAGAAGAAAATTCAATTCAGACTTTTTCAAGAACTGCTACTTTTTAGATCAAACACCAGCATCACAGAGCAATCCTGACCTCTTCTAGTTAAGAACCAGTCGTCTGCTTTCCTCTTTATATTTATGATCTTAATTTCCTACCACCTCCTCTATAATTCATATCACACACGTCACTCATCAGTTGTTTGGACTGTAACCTCTTACTTTGAGTGGCTCTTGTGACTTGTATTACGTGAAATTTAGTACAAGAATTATACAATAAATGTACGCTCGTTATAAAGTAAGTGAAAATAACAAAAGGCCCATCTTTTGAACCAGGCGAGAATTTAACTGCAAGTTAAGGGACCCTGTCCTCAAAACCGTCATTTAGTACCCAATATCTGTCATTTAGTACCCAATATCTGTCAAGTGCCAATAACTGATTTAGATTTTTTTTTACGATCTAATTTAAGAAACACCAATTTTTTTTCTTAAGCGTTTCACCCCAAGCAAGGTGAGAAGCCACTAGGACGCAAGGGGCTACAGAAAATTTGGAGCAAGATGAGATAGGATTGATAGAGGAAAAGATAAGGAGAAGCATAGTGGATAGAACAAGGCAACTGGAGATGTCGATTGACATTACATTTGAATAGCTGGAGATTATAGCTATCAGGGAAACTGGAATAGGGAAGGGAGTTCCACAGGCGAGAGGTGTGAGACATGAAGCTATTGGAGTAGAAGAGACGGCTACATTTAGGAGTTTCGACAGTGAAAGGGTGAGAGCGGGATGCCAGCCTCGTAGGGCGCTTGAACTCGTGAAGTCTGGGAACCAGCGAGTGCAGCTCCTCGGAGCAATTGCCATGAAAGTATTTGTAAAAAAGACAGAGAGAGGCGACGGCGCGTCTGTGAGAGAGTGACTGTAGACGAGATGCCAGAGCAGGGCCAATTATATTGCATATCCGCCTCTGGAGCCTATCAAGAACCCCGAGGCAAACAGAAGGGGCTCCAGACCATATATGGCAGCAATACTCCATGCAAGGGCGAATTGTTGATCTGGAGGATCGATTCCGGGGAGAAAAATTTCCTGGCGCGGCACAGGGAGCCATCTTTCCTTATTTGACTATTCTATAATTTCCTTCAGTTTCTGCTCTGATGATCATTTACTATTTTCACTTCTTCTCGGCAAATAGTCATTTTCCACGTGGACATTTTCATCACACATGCGATTGTCGTCAGTGTCACGTGGCTTGGATATGTTCATGCCCGCCAGGAAGCTTTTCAACGCGTCAATCCTGCTTTGTTTTTTTTCATATTGTTCATTGTTTAACAACCGGACCTCGTGTTTTTTTTTTTTTTTTTTTTTTGTTCTTTTTTTACCTCAGGATAATGTTGCGAAAATGTGGTTATGAAAACATTCGATCGCGTCGAGCTCCGGGCAGATGAGTCATAGTTGTAAATCTTTTGTGAGTCAATCGCCATAGTTTACGCAGTTCCCTTGAAATATGAAGCTAATCATTGTTGCTAAATAAAAGAATAGTTTTACCTGATTTCTCTGTAACACTTTATCTTTACAAGAGTATGAAGATGATATAACTTTATTAGGATATTTCCCTTTTAAACAGTGAAGAACATGCTAGGAGCGTTACACTTTTGGATATATCAGACGTATTTTCGTTTTTGGGCGAAATTTACTTCAAACCTTACTTTATATACACATCTAAGTACTACCTATCTATCTGTCTATCTATCTATCTATCTATCTATATATATATATATATATATATATATATATATTGTTGAAACTTGACTAATGCATGGAATAATAATGCAACACAAAATGTACTTAGAACAAAATGTATTGAAACAAGAAAGTGTACACAATATTTACATATAGTCTTTTGTATATTCCTGGTAAGACCGTTCCTGGAGAATGTGTTGACTGAGTCGCAGTCGGGCAGAGTCTCTGGTTGAATCTCTTGATTCCCCCCTCTCTTCCCGGTACCAACCATATTTATATGGTTGTTACTCCTCTATGCAAATTAGGTGGATCCTACCACAACATATTAATATTTCCTTTGATTT